CCGTCAAACTTGTTTGTTTATACTTCGAGATCATATACGCCAAAAATCAGAAAAAATAAACATTCAGAGATCAAGTAATGGGGCAAAACATTTCGACGGTTATAAACGAAAAATCACGATTTAACAGTTCTTTCAACTCTGATTTTGATAATTTTTTACAGCTACACTCCTTGACCCTATATGAATACAATGACTGTATTTGATTGTCAATTTAAAATATTTACACTAGTGGATACCACAAAATCTTATGTTATATTTAACAAAAGTATAAATAAACTCTTAATTGTTAGTGAATATATTGTTTTGATGTCATACGCATTCTACGAAACTAGTTTCAACGATCCAGCCGTCAAACTTGTTTGTTTATACTTCAAGATCATATACGCCAAAAATCGGAAAAAATAAACATTCAGAGATCAAGTAACGGGGCAAAATATTTCGACGGTTATAAGCGAAAATTCACGATTTACCGGTTATTTCAACTCTGATTTTGATGATTTTTTACAGCTACACTCCTTGACCCTATATGAATACAATGAACTAATTCGATCGTCAATATCCGAACTACAATAATATATTTTTCTAACAAAAATCCGATCCGAACTAAAATAATAAATTTAAAGCTACTTAATAAATATATATACCGTTTAATTTTTTAAGTGTTATGCATACAAAATAATATAAAATAAAAAAAAATTGGTTTAGGCGACGAAATATTTGGATTACGTCATGCAAAGATTTTAAAAAATAATTTATTTATTTTTGTAAAGACTTTGCGCGACGAACAACACTTGCTAGCGCAATACTTTGTGGAACGAAGGTTAGTAATTGGTCGCGCAAAGCCATGCAAAGATTTTTAAAAATATTTTATTTATTTAATTTATTTTTGTAAAGACTTTGTGCGACGAACCACTCTTGGTAGCGCAATACTTTGTGCAACGAAGTTTAGTAATTGGTCGCGCAAAGTCATGCAAGGATTTTAAAAAATAATTTTTCTATTTTATTTATTTGTTAAAGACTTTGCGCGACGATTTTTTGTCATCGCGCAAAGTGACTTTGGGCGACGATTGTGTTTCGTTGCGCAAAGATTTGTGGCGCAAAGTGACTTTGCGCGACGATTGTGTTTCGTTGCGCAAAATTTAGTCGCGTAATACTTTTAACGACGAAGTTTTATCTATCGTCGTGCAAAGTGACCTTGGGAGATATACAGCCGTCGATCCTCCAGGAGTCCTAAACCCTATCACACCCAAATGGCTTCTTCTAGGATTAGGCCTCTGCAAGGCTTCCCTCCTTTCCATAGGAATAAAACCCTACAGAGTTTCATCCATGAAGAAGAAGCAAAAAGGGGATCGTAATCCCTGCATTCTCCAACTTCCAAGCCACATTTTAGAGGAGATCTTCAGCAAAATTCCAATCAAAAAACCATCGTCCGATGCATGTTTGTGTGCAAGCTTTGGCGTCATTGGATATCAGACCCCCGATTCACTGAACAACACTTTTCACGAACTACTTGTCTTCTGCTCCGAGGATCCAGCTACATTACGGAGGGTGAGGGCCACTTCTTGGTCAACATCGACAATGCCTCTCCGAGCCTAAACGATGTCGTATTGAAGCTTTCTCAATATCCGATTGTCCTACCGATTGTTAATATTGTGAATATTGTGGGTTCGTCCAACGGCTTCCTCTGCCTCTACAAATGCGACTATATGAACAAGTATGACTCCTTTTATATATCCAATCCCATCACTGGTGAGTCTTTGGCTCTTCCAACACTGCCGCCGATGGCTGAGAACATGACTAGTTTTACTTGTTGTTGGTACCGTAACTGATCGAGCAACTAGCTAGGCTAGACCATCTACTTGCCATGCTTTGAGAGGTTATCAACTTAGCCAAAGAAGCCTTACTACAGGTCACAACTCTAAGCAAGAGGAGTCCCACATCGGAAAACTACAAGAGATGGAGACTCCCCCTCACCTATAAAAGAAGACTACTCTCCCCTTAGAAAAGGGCTCTCTCTTCGGGACTCTCCTGCTGGTCTGGCCTTCGGGTCCTGGGTCTCCGGATCTTGGACTTGACCCCTTGGCTTCGGATTCCTAGCTTTGTACCTTAGGGCCTAGGCCTTCTTCCATTTATCTTTGGGTCTAATCTCCTTGTACAAATGTAAACAAATATTATCATAATGAGAACATCTTCTCCGTGGACGTAGCCCATCATTCGGGTGAACCACGTATATCTTTTCTTCTGCATGCTTATTTACTTTATTTACCTCAACTGCCAAAGGCACATACACTTGCTGAAGACCCACGTCTTCACACATCATCCACCATTCCAACTCTATCTAAGTTGACCTCCCAAAAAGAGCATCAACACTTGTGGGTTTGGGTTTAGTCCCATGAGTGGTGTCTATAAGATAGTTTGGTTGCGAGGTTGTTATGGACTGGAACCGGAGGCATTTGTTTTGACTGTTGGCTCTGGGACTTGGAGAAGCACTGGGAAATGTAGGTACCGTTTCATGTACAAACATGGGATTTGTCTTAGTGGGTTTCTTCATTGGATTAATTATTCAAGGACTATGATATGTACCTTTGATCTTGAAAGTGAGGATTTCCAAGAGTTACCCCTACCCCCTGGTTGGGATTTGGAAAGCCTTAAGAAATCTGGATTGGACTTTAGGGTTTTGAGAGGTTGCCTCTCGGTAACTGTACGCTCGATGGAGAGGATGAGTATTTGGGTGATGAAGGAGTATGGGGTTAAGGAGTCTTGGAGCCTAGAGTTTAGTATTGTAGACATCGTATACACCTCTTACGTGTTGAAGTTTGGGGATGGGCAGCTCTTATTGCTTCATGGTGGGAAATTGCTGGCTTATGCTTGTGGTTCCAAGGGTTTTGTGGATGTTGAGTTTGATGCGATACGACACTTGAGAGATGAATGTGTCCACATTCCAAGCTTTGCTTCGCCTAAAATCATATTATCAGGGGTTAGACCTGGAGCTCCAGATCGAGAGTATTAATTATACGTCAAAGCTAGTTCAGTATTTGGTCTTTGGTGTTTCGTCTTTGGTGTAGTGTGCAATTTCAAACTTCATGCCGTTTGTTTTATTTTTTTTAGTTTCGAAAACTTTACTTGAAAGAAATTGGAATAGTAGAATGGGATGAGATTATGTTATGCATTTGAACTGCTGGAGTTCGAAACTAAGCACTTTATTTTTTATCAAATGCTTTTTGCAATGTTTTTGTTGAACAAATAAATTTCTTTAGCTCGTCGGATATTCACATTTAGCTCGTCGGATATGCACACTCACTATGTCTTCTCATGTTCCTTGCTGTTAACAATTAATCCAAAATTAAATCCCATCAATCCTAATGTAAATAGACTACCCAAGGAAAATTAGAAATCCCACAATTATTTATAACCAAACAAATGACTTAATTTTAATCCTATCTGTTTACCCTGAAAAATCCAACAAAGCCCTAGAGCAGACTTTGGGAAAGTGTGAGTTGCGAGCGTGCCACTATTAGCAATTAATCAATTCTAGTAGACGAAAATATAAATAACTATAAATAAATAAAAGTGTGCACCAAGTAAATGACTTAAAATCAAACAATTGTGATTGAAACGGTAAACTGAATCAATGAAAGCTCTTTTCTATGCCTTTAAATCTAGGAAATCGTCATATAATAATAATTTCTTGATTATTTACCATAAATTGGTCAGAATATTTAAACAACGTTAAAGGCCCAAGTCATGAACTGGCTCAATATGGCCTTATTCTCGGTAGGCCTAGACACTTACATTATGAAATACATCATAATCCTTTGGCACTTTGGAAATCTTCATCCAAGCATGAGTCTGTAATTGCTGGCGTACCTCTCTTTTGGTTGCCCCGATTTAAAATTTGAAAAATAAATACAATAGATGAGTTTATCGAGATATTTAACAATATTGAGTTTAGATGTATTACAATATCCGTATGAGTAAGAGTTCCAATTGAAAGCGGACTAGAAGCTACAAAGAAACGTGGGGGAATAGATTGGGAAAAAAGGTGATCGGGTTAGATAATAGGCAGCTTTAGTTTTTTATTTTTGAGAAATTTTGGGATTGCATGAATAATTCAACAAAAAAAGTTCCTAGCCACAACGAGCCAATACAAATTAGTCACAAAGAGCCATTAAAATAACAAAGTGATATAACATCAAAATTAAGACAATCTAGCTATGGCTCCTCCACTAACAATCATGCATGATTGAAAAAACTCTGACATAAACATCCCAACCAAAAGTGCAAACTCAGAACAACCAAATAGAGATAAAGCAACAAAGCCATAACAATATAAATAAAACTCTCATAGCAGAGAGGTGGAAAACTTTCACAAAATGAGAGGTGAAAACTAAACAGAAAACCCAAAAAGTGTTTGCGACTTATTTCAAACATGAAGAAAACACAAAAAGGATGGCGGTAGAGATCTGACGCTGAGAAGCATCCGCCTGTGATGAGTGAAGGAAAATCATAACAAAATGAAGACAAATGGGAGTAGGAGAAACTATATGTCTCTAAAAATTGGTGAAGATAGGAGCAAGGTCTAAAATATCGATGGTTTTGGAAATATCAGTAGTCCAAAAACACGGAAATTTTGATGGAAATATTAGGTTATTATCGGTATTTATAAAAATTGAATAAAAACCAAGGAAATTGTAAGAAAAACTTGAAATTTTTTTTTGAAACTTTGGAGGATGTTTATTTAGTCAATTATTTATTACTTTATAATAAAAATTGTAAGGAAATACATTACATGATGGGTTTAACATCCTCCTGAGGTTTTCGGCTTTTTCACAAAACTCCTTGAGGTTTTAGAAATTACAAGAAGACCCCTTGAAGTTTTAAATTGTTTTCACAAAACTCCTTAAGGTTTTAGAAATTACAAGAACACCCCCTGAGGTTTTAAATTGTTTTCACAAAACTCCTTTTCATTGATTTTTCATCCAAAGACTGATGATTTTATACAAAAAAAATGGTTAACTATTGATTTGCCCCCTGAACTTATACATAACTTTCGATTTACCCCATATTCTTTTTTTTTATTTTATAGAAAATTAAGGACCTCAATTATTATTATTTTAGTCAATTTTCCCCTCTACCATTAGATTCACTCACATTTCATCAAATTACTGTTAAGAATGGTCACATGCAATGCATGTGACACTTAAATAATTATAAAATAATGTTATAAAACAATAAAGAAAAAGAAAACAAAACAAAAACATTTTCCAACCCCCCCTTGCTCCCACTAATCCCTAACCCCCACCATAGTCTCACAACTCCAGCACCCCTCTTCTCCCAAAAAACCACCTTAACCCCTTAAATTTCTTAGTTCACCCAACACCCAAGTCGTGTAATATCTGCGTCATGCTACTCAACCAACAACCCCCACCCGATATGCCCATGAGAGAGAGAGAGAGAGAGAGAGAGAGATGTTGTGCTTGTGGGTTATGGAATGCTTGTATTTTTCTGAATCTTTGTTGTGATTTATGGTTGTGTATGCTTTGTATTGAGTTTAATTACATGTTGGGGGTTTGATTTTGGTGGTGGGAGTAACAATGAAGAAGAGGTGGCTGGGTGGGTGGTCTCAATTTGGGGTGTTGAGAAGTTTTGGGAGGGAGGGAGGGAGCAACGGGGAGGGTGGGTGTGGGAAAGGGGAGGTAAGGGGAAGGGCAGGGGCAAAGGGATGGAGATGGTTGAGGGGTGGGGGTAATAGTAGTGGGAAAAAGGGACAGAGGTGGCTGAAGGGTTTTTAATTATTACAATTTTGTGTTTTTTGCTTGAATTTTTTTCTCAAAATTTTAATTATTGTTAAGGTGCAAAAATGACCAAATTGTCCTTAAATAGCCTCACATGCTTGGCACATGATATTTTTAAAGGTAAATTGGATGGAATGTGAGGAAAATTAACGGCATGGGAAATTGGCTAAAAATAATAATTAAGGTCCTTAATTTTCTATGATAAAAAAGGGATAGGGGGTGAATCGAAAGTTAGGTACAAGTTGAGGGGGCAAATCAATAATTAACCTACAAAAAAATTCTCCAAATGACAAAGTTGGCCTTTGAGATTAGATTGCATATACTTAATTGAGGTTAATTTAGTCATTTGCATAAGTTTTTTTTTAATGAAATCATCAATTTTTGGACAAACAATCAACAAAAAGGGGTTTTGTGAAAACAAACTGAAACCTCAAGGGGTGTTCGTGTAATTTTTGAGACCTGAAGGGGTTTTGTGGAAACATTAGAAACCTCAAGGGTGTTAGTGTAAATAACTCTTCAAATTTTTCATTGTCTTTATCATCTCGATATTATCAATATTATTGATATTTTGGCCAAATATTGTTGAATGTGAGAGAAATTATCGACGTCGATATTTTTCGATAATATCAATATTAATACAATATATGTATGTATACGTTCCAAAATATCCTTGACCCGAAAAAACAATAATATCTTCGATATTTCGTTGATATTATTGATATTTTAGACTATGGTTCGGAGAAGGTGGAGGAAGGGAGAAGGGGAGATGGGAGGAAGAATAGTGGCTTCCTCCCCCCCTCAAAGTGAAAACGGCTCTATAGTGTTTTTTGGGTGAGTAGGACCCTTGACATAAAGGGGGATGTCAATTTTAACATCAAGCTTCTTGCCTTCAAACTCATGTGGAATTTGATTACTCGGTTTGAACAATCTTTTCTATTGCTAAAACTATAGGATTATTTTATTAAATATCCTATTGTTAACGTTTACATGTTGTGCTAAAATATTAAAGAGCCACTTTGGTCTAGTGTAGTGGTTTAGAACAATTGCTCATCTAGAAAAGGGCCTAAGTTCGAGTCTTAACATTCATGTGTATTCAATTAGGATTATAAAGCGTTTAAAAAGATTTTAAAAATCCTAGCGTATTCAATTTGGATTTAAACAAACTTTAAAAGAGGTTTTACAAGTCTGGGTGTATTCAATTAGGATTATAAAAAAGTTGAATCAAATCTAGGTGTATTCAAAAGGCCATATATTTGGAAGGATTTCATTAAGTGATAAATTTTCGTAGGATTTAAGGGGAGAGCTATAAATAACAAAGGCCATAATAAATCCAACCTCCCCCACAAGTATTTTATCAGACATTTTTCTCTCGCCCTAGCTTTTCTCTCTGCAACAGAAGACGAACAGCTTCCTTCCTCCATCTATGAAGGTATGCTCCCTATTTTTTTCTTCGATCAATACCTCGTTGGGTTTTCTATTTCCATGATTTTCCTTCATCGTGTTTTTCTTGTTATTAGGGTATAGTTTGGGGTTAGAGTTTATGCTTGTTACTAGGGTTTTCGTTAAACATAATTTTATTTCATGTTGTTGAAGGAAAAGATGTTATGAATTTCGCTTTTTATTTCATGTTGTTTAAAATTTCATTTCATGTTGGTACAAATCAAGTATCAGAACATCTCTTGAAATTGGATCACCATTAGATACATTGACAACAATTCTACTATATAAAATAATTTTACTTTGTATACTTTCCATCTATTTTTTTTATTTATAATTTGTTACGTGTATTATTACAGAGACATTGATAGGGAGGAGTTTAATAAAGTCATGGCTTTGATGAATCTCAAAGCAAACAAAACCAGGATGGCCACAGGGTCAAAGTTTCTGTAGAAGACGGAGGCCTACTTGAGCACTTCTTTGGCAAAGATGGCAAAAAAAGTCTCACACACAGAGGCGGACCTACTAAGGCACAAAGCGGTGCAGCTGCTCCTTCTCTCGCCGGAAAAACCATTCTAGGCGCTTGAAATTGCCCCTTTGCTCAACTGGTGTACAGATTACCTTATTTCCATCTTCAACATTTAAGTAAATATCTTTATCCTTTTACTTTTATTTAAAAAGCTGAAGTACTTAATAAAACCATACTCTTTGAACTTGGGTTGGGTATGAATTAAAAACAACTTTCACCACTGTTGCAGGTGTGAAGTTTGGTGTCGTTATGACTACATTTTAATACATAATTTTTTTTGGGGCTTCCCATGAGCCGAGGCCTAGGGCGGTTGCACCTTCAATCATGGCTTAGGCCAGCTCTGAACACGAGCAAACCTGTTCGTTTAATTCTTGCCATTTTATCTTCATGTGACAATCGGAGATGCTATTTATAATTACAAACTATGAATTAAAAGCGTTAGTTATGCAGATTTATGTGTAAATACAATTTTTTATTTATTAGAATCAGATAATATGTCAAAGTCGATTGCCTACTATTATTCTTCTTGTATTATTGTTATTGGAGAATAGGAGTTTGAAAGTGGTCGTTCAAAGTGCTTAATAATTAGAGTAAGTTAGTTGATGGAGTGATGGCGATGGCTGTTTCAAATCATTGGAAGAAAAAAAATCACGCGTGGAATGTGAGAATCCCAATTACAATGGGAATCTCTCTTTATTTTTTTCAACAAAATAAAGAATTTCTTTTGACAAACAAATCTTCATGAATCATATGCCCCCACTCCACTCCTAATAAATACTAACAACTACGCACCGCCGCTCTACCCTATCTTGCCTCATGACTAATTCGGTTGGTGGAGCCTGTGGCTCTTACCTATTCATCTCTCCATTGAACATTCGATAATTTTATTGGCACCTTCATATTTGTTGAAAAAAAAAAGGGTGAGTTTGCCAGCCAATGATACTAATTAATATAATTGCAAAATGAACAAATGCTTTAAAATATTGGGGATAGAGTAATAGAAATGTAGCTCTATATGGATGCATCCAATCCAAAACTAAACATAGTAATTAAATGATTAGATTAGAGTTGGGTGCACGCATGCTTTAATTTGTCAAGCATTAATCATCAAACTTGCCTGTATAATGGATGGCAACCTAATTTTCTATAACTTATTTATATGCAATTTACTCCAAATAAAGCCAAGATTTGTTGTAAGGTAATCATTAGCTTCAATGAGGCAATGGAAGGCCTTGATGTTACCCCAAAGTGTGTCTTGCAAACTTTAATAAGCTTGAGCTGGAGTTCCTTTTTCTTGGTGAAATAATTCATTACTAACAAAGAGAACAGCAATGTGTCTATCACCAGCTCAGTCCATTCAATATTCCTAACAGCTAGCTTTGAAGATTTTGAGCCATTGCCCTTCTCATTCATATTATATGTATACACATTAGCTGAATTGAGTATTATTGACTAAATAGTCTTTGGTTTAGTAGTATTTGTTTCCAGTTAGTTGGAGGAAATCTCAGGTTCGACTCAGATGGATAGCAAAGACGATATATATTTGTGATGAGTTTGATACCTAATCGTGGTGTAGCTTTCTTGTGGGTGTATTGACCTGTTGCGTGGGTATATTGGCCCATTATAAAATGTACATTATAAAAGAAGGAGAGATATCATAAAGGTAAAGAAATGAATAGGCATCTTTACTGCCTACTTTTCTCGCTCTTCCTACTACAAGTTGCAAAGTGAGAGAATCAGGTTAATTATATTAGACATGAATCATGTTTAACAGCTAATCAGTCCTCAGAATAATATTATTGCATCCAGCAATTGGGCATTTATAGATATTAAGTCACTTCTTGTCACCACCATCATAATTTCTTATTTCTTGGCCGTTAGCAAGGTCCTCATGTCATATAAATTTATAAAAATCCATTGCATATTGTGGCTTAATGTATATCGTCTGTAATATATAGCTCGAGCGACTAAGTTGCTGCGATCAAGCGCAATTAAACTAAATTGATCTAAACGTTATTAAGTTTCAAACACTTTCTTTGTTGCCCGATTAGGATTATTTTTCACAATACGAACACAAACTAATACACTAAAGCACAACATGTTGCCAAGTCTAAGAAAATGCTATAAACCGATATGTCAAATTGCCATATGAACATGAAATGAAAAAAATTGAAGGTTCAAATTATTCTAACCAAATAGTTAAATCCTACATGAATTTAAAGGTTGGAAGAGATATGTCAAAAATAACATATCGAAAAGCTTGATATCAAATATTTTTTTAATCATGGACCCCATTATCATTTTCTCTATTTTAAAACTTTATGCATCATATGGGCCCTATTTGCTTTTAAAAATAAGAAAAAATAATATGATATTTGGCACTTCAGATAGATTTAAATTTTTTCCAAATGCCAAATTACCATATAAGCCATCAAATTCAAATTCAGCAATTTTCTATCAAAAGTATTCATGCTGCTTTGGAATATGTGATAGTACCGATGCAAAGTCCCCACAGTTCCAGGGACCCCTTGGGAGATTTTTCCCTGCCAAATGTTGGACCATCAACTTTGGAAAGGATGGCTTTATTGCCACCTCTGAGGTATAGTAGGTCTCAAAAACTTCAATTTTTATCATGTACTATGAAGCCAATTTCACCCTTATCCATCCCTAATTTTTTTTAAAGGAAAAAAGAAAAATTGCCCTTCCCCTTTCCTTTGACAGACCATGGCCACCATGATGGGTTGTTTTGAGAGAGAGAGAGAGAGAGTGAGGACGCTAATAAAATACAGAGGGAGCTTTTCTTATACATTATCAAAGTATCATAAGAGTTCGAACTTACGATCACTGATCAATAAATCAAAATCATTAAAAATAGCACTTAAAAATACAACGGTGTGTGCCTCCTCCTTTAGTCCCCTGGGGTGTTTAAGTTGTTAACCCAGGTTTTAGCTTTGCCTGGTGTTATTTTTGGTTGTTTTGGGCAGTGGCCCTCTCTTTCCCTTTCGTAATTGAAAGTGTGTTTCGACCAAAAAATAAATAAAAAATACAACGGTGTTTGTAAGAAAATAGAGAGAAATTAGAAATGATATATATGGATTTGGGAATCAATAATTGCTGGGATTGTATGTATCAGTGACCATTAGGTCTGAGATCACTTTCAAGCACCTAATAAAAACAAATCAACCTTGCAGCTCATAAAAACCAAACCTATATATGCTGTAAACAGCCAAGGACAATTGAATTTTTAACCAATTTCTGAACTGATTGTCTTTGTGAATTGAAATGCAGCCGCTTGAAATCAAAACCCTTGTTTCAAAAAATCAAGCCATGTCCTTTAAACACTATATATCATGACACAGAAGCTGGTGACTCAGATATTATTTTGCCAACTGTCAAATTCCTAATGGGAAGCCTTCCCTCCCTCTCCCAAAGACACGATTGATGGTCCCAAAGAACATTAGGGAAACTTTATTCTCCCATACCCACACCAAGTTGTCATCCACCACCAAAATTTAAATCATACCAAAAGAGATGAGGTCCTACCAATCAGCCATCATGTATCCTGGGGACAAATCCATCATTTTAATAGCCAAGCTTTAGCTACAGCCAAAAACAAACCCAAAACCTAAAGCCTCTCCCTTCATGCCCAAACAAAAGTTTCCAGCTTTCATTTTGTGCTTAGCTGGCTTCTTCTTTTGTGTTTGGCTCCTCCAGTTAATATTGCTCACAAGTGCCCCACCCCTACCATTACCTCTCCTTTACACAACAACCTGGCTCTCTTCCTTCCTATATAAATACACCTCTTTCTAAAACCCTATCACACAATCACAAACACTCTCTCTCTCTCTCTCTCTCTCTCTCTCTCTCTCTCTCTCTCTCTTTTTGCCAAAATGGGGATTTCTAGTAATGGGTTGTGTTTGGTTTTGTTGGTGGGATTAGTTTTTAGCTCTTTAATGGTAGCAACTTATGCTGGAAACTTTTATCAAGATTTTGACCTAACATGGGGAGGTAAGCGACCCAAAATATTCAAGGGAGGCCAGCTTCTGTCTCTCTCTTTGGACAAAGTTTCTGGCTCTGGGTTTCAGTCCAAGAAAGAGTACCTATTTGGGAGGATTGATATGCAGCTTAAGCTTGTTCCTGGCAACTCTGCTGGCACTGTCACTGCATATTACGTATGTCTTAATACTCATACACTCATACTAGAAAAAGAAAAAGAAAAAGAAACTTGCACATTTTCCCTTTTTTTTTTTTAAATTTATTTATTTTTATATATAGCTTATATAACTCAATTTTTTAATTTTCCACCTCTCTCATGTGACATGGTGGGGTCCATGTTACGTGGGACCCATAAAAAAGTTAGGTCTTATTTTATTGTTTCTTTTGGATAAAGTCACACATTTTTCTACGTATATGTAGCTTGACATGAATTCTGATGGCCCACTTGAATTATTAAGCTCGTCGTATTGAAACATCTTCAAAGGAAAGAGACAGAAAAAAGAAGCTCAAGTTTGTGGATAAATTCTGTAATTTAAAAAAATAAAAATAAAAAGAAAGAAAGTTACTATACATTCACGAGGGCTTCCTCTAAGTCAAAATTCACTCGAGGTTAAAAAGTTCGTTTTCAACTATATATTTGCATGCATAATTATTAACGCTTTACCCCTTGCATGATAGTGAGGCTATAAAAAGATCTCTTGTTTTACTGTATGCAGACAAGAATTTTAATAAACTGTTTGTGTTTGTGTTTGTTTTCATGTAGTTGTCCTCTCAAGGCCCTACCCACGACGAAATCGACTTCGAGTTTTTGGGAAATCTCAGTGGCGATCCTTACGTTTTGCACACCAATGTTTTCACTCAGGGCAAGGGAAACAGAGAGCAACAATTCTATCTCTGGTTTAATCCCTCAAGAAACTTTCACACCTACTCCGTTATCTGGAAGCCCCAACATATAATGTAAGAAATAACTATTAATCCATTCATACGTTCACTAACATTTATACTTACTAATTGGTTTAGCCTCCTTACCATTTTTAACATATAGTGGAGGTTTTTAGCCCGTCAAAAGTTCGACTCTCGTTCTTCCCATTCATACAACATATAATATAAAAAAAAGAATTCGTTAAGTTTCGAAATGGGAACAATAAAAGTCGAACTTCAATTTTGACAATTTCAATTATGTATCGTACATGTTGCGATGTCGGATTTCGGTCTTGAATTATACCAAAAGTATAACTCATATCCAGAATTATACTAAGTAGACATCTGGAAGCCCCAACATATAATGTAAGAAATAACTATTAATCCATTCACACGTTCACTAACATTTATACTTACTAATTGGTTTAGCCTCCTTACCATTTTTAACATATAGTGGAGGTTTTTAGCCCGTTAAAAGTTCGACTCTCGTTCCTCCCATTCATACAACATATAATATATAAAAAAGAATTCGTTAAGTTTCGAAATGGGAACAATAAAAGTCGAACTTCAATTTTGACAATTTCAATTATGTATGTCGGA